GGGAGGGGGGAGCGTGGAGGGAGGGGAAAAATGAGGACCTAATGTTGGGGGTTTAAATGGAGAGAAAATATTTTGAGAAACGATGTACAAATGCGCTTTGCACAATTGATGTGTGTATGGATTGGGATAACAGTTGTATGAGCCCCTAATAAAATGTTAAAAAAGAAAAAAAAAAGGCATCTAACATAAATGAAAAGAAGTATCTAATGCAATAACTTTTTAGCATTACCCTGCATCTAGGAAGATATGATTCAAAATAGTTGCAAATTAGTTTCTTAAATATTAAAGTCTGGCGAAAGACATACATTTTGTTGACATCACTGACATCCTAACAAGACTACAAGAAATAAAAAAATAACAAGCTGGGTATTGTTTCTGTTAGTTTCAAATAACAGAAAGGGCAAACTGAAATAATGCTTCAGCACTTGTTTGAAAATGAGTCTATAAAAGAAATTGAGGTAACTCATATTGTAAAATATAGTTATGGGCTATTGATCCCACTCTTACTGATAAGGATATCTGATAAAAAACAAAATGCGATCAAATGGGATTCCAACTCATAACAAAGAGTGGAGAGACTTTTTAGGAAAATATGATAAAATAGACCTTCCATGCTAAGGACAGATCTTCTAAAACAAGAAATGTAGAAAAGAAGATAGCATTTTTAGTAATGTGGTAAAAAATATAACTCTTATACACCTTACTTACTTATATTAACTGACATCTGAGGGCTAGATCCAGTGTCTTTAAAATTATAAATATTTGGTGCTTATTTAGTCCTACTGCCACAAGAAATAAATATAAATTAAATATCTACTTAGTCTGACCAAAATACGCTTGTGATTATTTTTCAAAATCTAGAATTTGAAAGACATCTAACAAATAAAAATATAGCAATACCTTTTTCTGAATATACAAGATAAGAAATATACATGGATAGAGCCAAAATAATCTGATCATTAAACAAGCCACTTTGCCAAAAAGAGGACATATTTTTCCCTAAATAATTTAAACCACTTGGATCTCAAATTGTAGCCACTCCCTAAGTTATTTCACTAAGTTACATCTATAGTCTACTACACTCATGTAAACAACTTTGAAAATATTTATATCATTTTGTTCATGCATAGCTTCTTTTAAATTTTTATTGTTCTATTATATTGCATATACATTTTGAGGTTTTTTCCTACAACAAAAAGTAAGTAAAGTGACAACACCCAATTACAGACTTGAGCTTTGGACTGGTCAGAACAGTTCCACCAGGGCTAAAGGACAAGGGCAGTGTATACCTTGCATCGTATCCAAAATCCCTAGCCTTAGAGATTTTGACCCACATAGAAAACAGGCAGTGATGTCCACCTCAAAGATGGCAGCCAAAGATGGAGGCTGCTCATTTCCTACTTGGGTCAAGATCCCAGGTGGCAGAGAATGGGTCGCCAGGAGAGGCATACACTGCCCTTGTGTTCACTGACCAAGCTGCACCAAATCTAACCGGCTAGAAATCCGATTACAGGCAGAGGTGCATTTTTCCTCAAAATATGAAGTGAGTAATTTTTTTCTTTTGGATAACTAGCACATGCATATTTCTTAGCAATATAAAACAGAATCTTGCCAGGAACATGCTTGTTCTTGAGGGACTAGGGAATGAGGGAATGAACAAACTCAGGCAGCAGCATGGGTTTCCTACTCTTCTGCAGGAGGAGACACGTTAGGTGGCTGCTATAGAGCTAAAGACGTGAGCATGATGCAGAGCCTTCTGGAAGCCAAGTGTGATTCTGAGTAGCAGTCTCACAACGTAGCCATGGTTTTTATTAGTACAATCACCTTCTCTATAACGCCCTACATCCACACCTTCACCACAGCAAAAGTGCCCCCCCAGTGTTCCTTCTTATGCCCATGTCCCAATGACGACCACCTGGGTAACGTCAGAGACAAAGAAACATTTGCTACCTTGATGTGCTCTTGAAGCTGAGCCTGGTGCTGCCGTGTCAAGTTCTCGTGCTGTTTCTGAAACTCTGCTATCAGGAGCTGCTTCTGTATCTGTTGCTGCTGCTGAATGAGAAGCAGCTCCTGCTGCAGTTGCTTTTCACGGACCACAGGGTCCACCGCAGGCATCATCATCCTGAGGTCAGTCCGGAGGTCTAAAGGCGAGATGGGCTCCAAGCCCACAGGGACCTCTGACTTCACATCCACTGCGGAGGCGGAAAAAAAGACAGCAGAGGAGGAATAAGAAACGAGCACACTGTTGTGGAAACAAAACAAAACATATACAAATATCGTACCCTGATCAATAAATGTTAAGCAACGTTTACTAGTCATGTCTTTAAAATGATGATAGTGGGATTTTTTGGATCGGTTTTGGTAAATAGAACATAGGCTAATTTTCCGTCAACAATCTGCAATCAATCTTCCATCTTACTCTTTCTCAAAGAGAT